AAAGAGTGCCATTTTATGGCTTTCCTTTTTTCATGTCTGTCATAGAACACAGAACAGTTTTAATACCCATCCACTCTCTCAGTATTAAAATTGCATTTGTGCCTGGTTTGCATGTGGATTTTTCAAACAAAAGGACCTCTTTTCTTCCTGTCCCTCTTGTACATATGTTCACATTCTGCATAGTCACATGCTGCTAACCATGCGTATAAAGCCACATGTTATGTTGTACTTCTTTTTTAAATTCCTGTAATGAAAAGACTAAATAAGATTCCTTCTGTTGATATATCTTGATCTTTATTTTGATATACTTAAACCAAATATTCAGATGTTTGAAAACCCTCATCAGAAACAGGCATGTTTGGTGTCACATTGGTTACTTGCTAATGAAAACTGCAATACACACAAAGGCAACAGAGCAACAACTGTGGTGGTGTCTATAAAGCTTGCAAACAGATAGACAGTAGTTCACAGTTTATGTTAAAACCAGCTCCTTGAGAAAGGTTATTATAAAATGAAATAATTGGTTCTGGTTTTTAGATTATTCATTTTACTTTAATGGGCTTTTTCCAAGATGATTGGATATGTTTCCACATGTTTTTTGAAGAGGAGAACTAGGCTAATTGGCTTTTTGCTTATTTTCTTTAGAGATACAGTTTATGATTTATCATACTTTTGATTAACATTTTTCAATTATGTGGATTCTTTTAAAGACTAAAGTATTTTCCAAGTATGGCAAGAAGCAGTAAAATGCCTTTTAGGGTTACAGGAAAGAATGTAGTTGCTGTACTTTAAATATCATTTCACTATATATTCCTGTATTACATATATTTTTCAGTCGTAGCTTAAGCAAAACTCCTGTTGCTTTTTCAGTTTGCAAGGAAAGATGTAGATTGAAGACACAGCCATGCTGATCTAATGACTAGTTGCCACTGAAAGTGGCAAAATTCTTCTGCCATTCCTTTTTCACCTTCAGTCATGTACTCTTGCTGCTCTTGCATCAGCACTGCCATTCATGTGACCACACAATGAAATAATTCATGGATAAATGAGCAAAAATATAATTCTGTTTTTTTTAAAATTTATAATTTTCTGCTGATTTAGCTCTACTGAACAGATTTGTCATGCATCAGTACCAGCACAGAGAAGGTGACTGGAGAACTTGTCCAGGACAAGGGGAAGAGATGGAAGAGGGGAGCAAATCTGCCCATTTTGATGTCACCTAGCCATTAGATTGTATTACTTTATCATCAAATTGCATGCTGAACTACACTGAGTAAAATTCCTAAGAGTAAGCACATGGTAAAGCTGTTTTGAGATAATGCATATCACCAATGAATTTCTGAAGGTTAAGATATCCAGAAGAGGAATAGTACTCAGTCACAGAAGACTAATCTAGTGAAATGGAAATCATAGAATCACAGAATCATAGAATCATCTGGTTGGAAGAGATCTTCAAGATCATTGAGTCCAACCGTTCACCCTGCACTGTCAAGGTCCCTAAACCATTTTGCTCAACACCAAATCTACACGTGTTTTAAACACCTCCAGGGATGGGGACTCCACCACCTCTCTAGGCAGCCTGTTCCAATACTTCACAACCCTCTCTGTAAAGAAATTCTTCCTGATATCTAACCTAAATTTCCCCTGGCGCAACTTGAGGCCTGTTAATATAAATATTACTGAATAAAATTTACATTTTTTTTCCTGATTTTTGTAATTGGTACCGAGATTAATCTAGTTTAACATTACATTTCAGCAATATAGTTGGCTTTTATTTTGACTCATAGAATGACTTGGTTCTGCTTTATTATCTTGTTGTTTCGTTAATGTTGATTTTGTGGGAAGTGTTTTTTGTCTGTTGATATTTTAGGCAAGTTCAGGGCCTGTTGTGCCAGACATTGTACAGACATATTAAAAAAAAATCCTATGACCGAAAAAATAACTAAATCTATTTAGTGAAAGATCTAGAAGCGTAATTCAAGAAATCCAGGAAAGCCACAAAACAGCAATCTATTTTGCATAACTAGTCAAATGGATCAGTTTGTACGATTAAAAGGTTTTATGGCTGTTTTCAATGAATGCAATGTTTAAAGTCTGTCATGGTGATTTATATGACATGGTGGTATACCTGCATTTTGTCGACTGTGAAAATAATAATATATACTTCAAACACAAACATTCATTTAAGAAATGCACAGCGAGGCTTCAGTCCTGCAAAGAAGCATATATACTGCTATTTGTACTGAAGTAATGGACAAACTGATGTGCTTTATATTAAACAACTGTGTAAGCATTTGCAGGAATTGGCTTTTAAACTGTAAACACCAACTTCAGATTTGCTTTAGTGTTTACTGCTGCTGTTAGTTTTGCTGGTAACTGTGATTGCTAAGCTGTTACAGATATAAACCCATAAACTCTTGTCTCTGAAAAACAGTACAGCTGTGTAAATCGTTGTTTCTTTTCATTAAAATAAAACATATGTTCAAATGTTGATTGTTGTATAATATTAAAGCAAGCACTTCCTTCAAGAGCTTACTTTGTGAGTTTTCGTCAGTATAGCTTTTGCAGTAACACTGAAAATGAAAGATTCCTTCTCACAGGTGACTTCCACATCAGATGACAAATCTCACACATAAGAAAATGTAATTTAAGGGTTTCTCAGCTGACCACCAGTCTGTCTCAGTCAATGATAGGTAAAATATTAGGCTGTATATATGTCCAAAAAGCCAGTGATCTATTTTAGATTTCTGTAAATTCTGACCCAGATTCAGGTAATTTTATCTGCATGTTTATCACATACCTGTTTTCCTTAAATTAAAACAAAAACAAAACCAAAAAACAACCCTTTCTGTTAAAAGGAATATCAAAGCTCCTAAGTTCTTGGCGATGTCTTTGTAGAAACAACTTCTGAAACTCAACAGTTGTTCCATTCAAACAGGAGTAGAGGAGATAGGGGGCAGCAGGGAGAAGAGAAGTGGTTTTATTGAAAATCTGTATGACTTTTTTTTTCAGGTGTTTCTGATTTTATTATATATACAGGTAATCAGATTAATCTAAGTCCACAGAGAATGTCTTTTCTCTATATATTTATAGCCTCCAAATTTCCCTTTCAATTCCAAATCTTGCTATTCCAGAAAGGAGCAATACGCAAAATATACACGCATCCAAATGAAACTGTGTAAGATCTGTAGAGGCAATTATGAAACAAAATTGGTTTGATTTTCTAATCGCTATTTGATCATCAGTCTTAACTATTAACAAAAAGCTTACGCTTTCATTTTAGTTGTGATCTTTTGTACTTCTAAACAGGAAATAGTAAACAACAGAAGTCTAATAAGTGCTCAGGAAAAATACCATATGGCATGTGCATCATCACAAAAATATGATGAGCTCTTAACTTTGCAAATGTCTTCATGCCACATGGATGCACAACCTACATTAGCAAAAGATGTGTGAGTAAAGCCATGGCAACTTTTCACTCATGTCATTTGTCAAAGTTGCTTAATTTGCTGCTGCGTGATAAGTTGTAAAAATATAATTGAGTCAATATTTTGTTAGCATCAGTCTCAGACTAAAGATGAAGGGAAGTAAAGCATTTAAAATATTTTTTATACTTTCTCTGCTGACAGGGTGAGGCGCAGCCAGTGGCCGCCAGGCCGGGGTGGGATGTCAGCCGTGGACCGGACCGGGGTGCAGCTCGGCCAGGCCATGGCCGGGCGCGGGTGGGCAATGGCTGCCGTGCGCGTGGGGCTGTGCCGCAGGCATGGCCGAGCACCAGAGCTCCGGAGTAAAGGCGGCTCCACCGACGGGGCCAGCCGTGGCCGGGGCCGCCTGCGGAGCGGTCTGGCAGCTCCCCACCGGAGCGGTCTGGCAGCTCCCCACTGTCACCAGAGGGAAGGGGGGACAGCTCTCCGCTGCGCTGTCTCCAAGCTGGCCCTGAGCCCAGCAGCCAAATCCCTGGCAGGGGGATGCAATCAGGACCCTTACGGGCATTTAAGATCCCCAGGTGCTGCTATCCCTTTTTCTCTGCTTCGCAGAGAAGCATGGGAGCAGATGGTAGCCACTTTAACTGCGCAAATGTAAGTGACGCCTAAGTATCAAACTTTTGCAGCTTTTTACTTGTTATCTGCCTAACTAGTAAAACTGTGCTACGATGGCTTGATTATCAATTTCTTTGTGAACACTTATTTTGGACAAGGAAATGTATGTTCTCATTTTTTGCCCTAATTTATTTTCCATAATGTGGCAGCTTCATTCCTCAGGGATTGAGTAGATTTTGTCTGTTCTAGGCACTGGAAGAAAATCCATTTCTCTGGCATTTGGGATGAGACAGAAGAGATGTCTTGGGTGCTGTCCAGTTTCTTAGCTAGGTAAGAAGAGATAGTAAATGGTGTTAGATTATTGTGATATCCAAAATGTTCGTTTAAACATTGTCTTCTGCATTAGGCACCAGTTACCTAACCAAGCAGTATAGTTTCTTTTCTTCTCTTTAGCATACTGCAGAAAAACTTTTCATGGCCAGAGGTCTGTAGGATGCCGGGGTTTCAGTGGGGAAGTGACAGAGAAAGGAGAAGCAGTTTCTTTCTGTTCATCGAATCAGAGACCTAGGATAAAATTTTCATTCAAGCCTTTGGCAAAATTCCCAACAATTTTAGTGGGACATAAGTTTCACACACAGCCTGTACTTGGATTGTAGTTTTGTGATAGCCTGTAATTGGAAAAAGTATTAGGAGAAAAGGAGAAGATTTGTCTTTCCTAATAAAAGGAAAACAATAATCACTTTTTCTTTCCAACTGCTGCATGAGTTGAGACCAGTTTAGTTTACTTGGAGGGTGTGATGTTTGCAGCATTATTTGTTGAAGAAGGTCCTTCCCAAAGTGGTACAGATGATAAGTGTAAAGCTACCCTTTGTTGGGTGAATTATTATGAAGGCAGTTTCCTAAACATATGAAATGTATTAAATGATTAGGCTTATTTTTTATCATGTAAATGATGTATATTGTGGGTTTCCTGTATAATAAACTTAAACTTAGAATTTTCACAAATCTTATGATCATGTTAATGTAGGCCTGTACCAGAAAATGTTTCAGGACCATAATATATGAAACATCACGTTCTTATTGATCAATATAAATATATATCAATATGGTTACCTGGAGCATGTATTGCAACAATAAAGTAAGTGCAAACAAATATGCATATGATATAAACATATGATGGCTGGAGAAAAATACTTTAACAATGCAAACAAATAATGAATAAATATAAGATTTGCCTAACACTCCATTGTGTTTAAGATCTGATACTGCCATTATTTTAATTTTTAATACCTTTGGTAAATAAATAAAATGCCTTTGCTGTGCAGATAATGCTTTTCTTGAGAAATCCAACATGAAGTGCAAGTACAAAATAATAAAAATAATAAGGCAAATTTAAATATGTAAATTTAAATAGAAGAGTAAAATAAATCACTATATCTTTTGAACGACTACTGAAAAAAAATAAAGGAAAGAATACATACTTGTCAAATATGCAGTATAAATAAATAATTTAGGTGAAAATGGATGACTAGATATAACAAAGAGACGACCAAATAATGAAGGGCTAAAGGGTGGTTGTTACATCTGATGTACTTCATTGTATATTGTAAGTAATTGCTATCCATAAAAAATTCCATGGCTTCTGTATAAGAAAAAGAGACAATTTGACAGGCAACACTAGTAGTAAGCGACAGCAAGTACAAATCCTTGGCAACTGTCATTATCCTGCTGTTGAATTCACATCCAAAACTGTGCAATAACTTTGACCTGTATAGCTGTTACTGAACCAATGTCTGTTAAAGTAACTATATTTTTCACTTATGGAAAAAAATATTAGCCATATGCAGATTTATGTCTTAGAAAACTGTATGGACTATTTACTTTAGTATGCTATCGTTTTCCATTTAAAGAAGAAATATGACAAAATATGCTTTAGTTAGACAATAATGAATGATGAGAAAATTGCACTAGAGCAATAGAATAAAAAATTTGATCTGATGTAGCTAAACAATTTCAGCATGTTGAACTAACTGAAAGTAAAAGTTCCTTTTGTAAAAATTACAAAAAGACTCCAGTGCTTTGGCCATGAATAAACAGCAGTTTAATTGCTTTTAAATGGGAAAAAAAAGTATTAAGAGTTCTTTAGGCTTTTTTTTTTTTAAATTTCTTTTCCCATTTAAATTTCTGGTTTCAAAATCTTTTCTCTCTCTAACTGAGCATCTTTACTTGTGCTGTAAAACTGGGATCACAACATCTTGGTATGAGCAGCTAGCAAAATTTACCATTGACTAAGAAGAAATTTCACTTTAATATGGAGTACCAAGCTGTTTTTCCTAACTAGTGAATACCATTTCAAATTGACTCTTTTATGAGGTTTCCACATTATAAGACTTCCATTTTATGGCATTTAATCTCCAGAAGGATGGACACCATGTTACATGTAAAATTGAGTTTTCTCAAAGTATAAAACAGCTCATCAGTGCAAGAATAAGATTACTCTTGATAATTGCATGCTTGCACTTCCTGTTTGAAACCACCTCAGTTAAGGAATTGAAGTGTATGCACTGGTACCCTAAGGTTTACATACACTGTATGTGTAGTTGTTATGATGGTGAAAAATTTTAACAAAAAGCTGAACAAGGACTGGGGAACAACAGTAGCAGTAGTCTTGTAGATATTTTCCTTTTATAGGGTAACTTAGTGACAGGAGGTTTTGTAGGTACTATATATTGTTGAAAAGTAGCAGCTCTTGACTACACCAGACCACTTACATAATGGTTTACTTGTCATGTAAAGAAGATAATTCCTAGTTAATACTAACAGTGCTGTTAATATTCCATCAAAATAGTTCATGAGTAGTAAGGATCTTGCCTGCTAAAGAAGGAAGTTATCTACAGAATAAATAATGGCAGTTAATAGATTTTTATCGTATAAAGAAATTTGTTTCTGGTTTTGTAGTTCTTTTCTTCTCTTGAAGTGGGTAACAAAATGGTTTTTTAAGAAAAAGGGTGTTTACAAAAAATAATGTCCTCTTGCTATCACCAGTCAGAATTGAAAACACAACATAATGTGTTCAGACTCGTAATACTAAAAAGAGTTTTCTTTGATTGAACACCAATAAGTACTATTCCTGTGATAGTATATTAGTTTAAGGATTTCCTAGGTAAATATACTGCAATCTATGTGGACAAATTTCGAGGTTCATGTTTGTTGTGGCATCATTTTTGTAATTTATAATGGGAATATTCTGACACTTAAGATTTACTTGAATATGAAAGAAGAATGGAGGCTTGATCTCATCCGACTCCTTTCTTGCTGCTTCTTGATCTTCGATACTGCTGTTGGCACAGTTACACTAGTGCTGATTTGGATCTTCCAAAGACTGAATAAAATTAAATTTTATGATCTTCATATGGGTGAATATTCCATCCAGACTTTTGGCCCACAGTATAAAGTAATTTTGTGCCATTAATAGTAGTTAGCTCTCATTATTTTTAATATTTATATGCAAATAAAACCTGTTTTTTTAGCTTTATGAGTAATTTAATGTTAATTTTATGTGAAGGAAGGCTAGCACAGACTCAGTGCTAATGCAGTATAGTATAGCTGAAATACCTACTGTACTTCACCATAATCCTGTCCTACAGCACTTCATACAATTCCCTTTCTGATCCTAGCTTGTGCAAAGATTAAATGAGCTGACTTCTGAAATAATTTTGTAGTTTGCAGAAATAAGAATCAGGATGACACTATTAACACAGCTTCACAATGTGTTTTCCAGCATTAATTAAGTTGTTGTAGGCTTTTCTGAACTCTGTACAGTCAATCAGTACTAATTTAAAGTAGTTAAAAGACTAGATCAAAAAAATACGATTTTAACTATATTTATCATATTTATGTTTCAGAAAATATTTCCCTCCCTATGCAAAAATAGCTGTTAAAAATATTGAAGGGAAGCAAAGCTCTAGACAACTTCAGTTTGTCCATAACATTCGCCTGCAATCAGCAATGGTATTGAGAAGGTCAAGACTTCAAGATTGTTCTACACATCAAACAAAATCAGTTCAGAGCTGTGATGGAGTATCAGATGTATAGACAGCTACAAATCAAGCAGTGCAGACAATTTCTGTCTTATATCACCATCCAAGAGAAACAGAGCTGAAAGTGTTCCCACAGGTCAACTAAGGTAATCAAAGCTCTTCTCTGTTGCTTTTAATCATGACTCCTGCAGTTCAGTCACCTTGTAAGGATGGTTCAGTTGATATTCTAAACCAGACCTTGCTAATTTTTATGAAGATTTCTTGACCTAACAATTTATCAGAGTATATCCTTTCTTAAATCGTGTTGATTTCATCAAACATTTCTTAAAGACAAATAAAATGACAGTAAACCAGGCATCCCAGTTTGCTTTACAAATTTTTAATGGTCTTAACAATAGATAGGTAATATCCATCAAACTGACCCTCTGTAAAGAAGAATGTGATTCTCCGTAATTAATCCAATATGAATTGATTCTGCCTGTCTGCAAAATCCAACAGAACAATTGAATTTTGCAATGTACCATAAAAGTGATTAAAGTGAAGACCTGGTGAATGAAAGTGTATTTTGGTGTGTTTAATTTAAATTTACTCATCAAAAGCTTTTTGTTGTTAGTGTCTTCTTTTTTGAGTAGGGGAATTGTTGTAAACGGAGACAAACCTACATGATTATATTTATGATGGTATCCCCTCCTTTGTGTGCAGACGTGACCTCAAATATGATACAAATGGCTCTATATTGCTTTTTTTGTAAATATTTTCTGGAAGTGCTTTATCTAAAACCATTAAAGTATTTATGATTGCTAATTTTTTATGCTAAGATCTGTATTTAAATGTACTTGTCTCCTGGGGTATGAAAGTCTTAAACTCTAAAATAAAAAGAAAACAGAGTTACTTTTTAAGGGGGCCACATTTTGGCTTTCTTATTTATATGGTTTAGCACTCAACACTGAAGTAGTTACACTGATTTAGTAGCATGACTTGCTTTAGAAATGCTAAAAAGAGGACAAAAAACTAGGATTCTTATGTGGTCATTTTGTCATTCAAGAAATGTGGAAATTAAAATATGTGAGATTACCTACATGCTGTTATGGTTTAAGTGAAGTATCAGTTCAGTGCTAATTGAAATGAATGGAAAAATTTCCAAGGTTTTTCGTGGGTGAGAAATTAAAATCTTAGGCCTCCAACCAGTTTTGAGTCCTGCATGGGAACCTCTTGTTGCAGACTAGGACGGAGACCGTATGTCACACATGTTCTTGCTGCAGTATGACGCTTTGTTATGAATCTGCTTTCCTCACTTTTTTTTTTTTTTTTAAATAGTCCTGCTGTGGAATTATTCAGAAGTTATTTGCGGTATAAGCATTTAAAATAGTATTATGATATTTTTTTTTAATTGAGTATTAGTTTATTTAATTTTATTCTGGCAGCTGCATTGAATGTGTTTTGCTATCTGGGAAGCAGAAGCAATTAACAATAAGCTCCACTCTGCAGTCACTGTACAGGCATAATTGCTGTCAATTTGATTGAAATTTTGCCTGAGAAAAGATTGTCATCAGTTCTTACTTTTTAAACTAGAAGCAATAGCCTACATACTGTACACTGAAAGCACTCTTTAATTACAAGTTTTCTCAGGATAAACAAAATTTTTTCTGTATTTATTTGTGCTGATAGATTTTGAAAAATACTTTTAAAATTAGATGTTTATTTTCTTGTGCAATTCTTAAGATATTTCATAAAAGGACTTCATAGTGGAGTTAAGCAACTATTTTTTAAGTATTCTGGAAGTTCTGAATAAACTCAGTTTGAGGTAGAATAAGTCTGTTTTGCTTATAACAGTCCAATTTCTCTGTGTTTTCTACATTTATAACTTAGGTGCTGTGAACTAAATTCTTACACTGTGAAGAATTTTAATGACTATATATTCAGATTGTCTTTTCACACAATTATTATAAAAGTTCTAAAAAAAAAAGTAAAAAAAAAAAGATAGAACAGTTAAATATCTTGGATTGTTTCTTTAATATCCTAAACTGGATTTTTTTCAACAGAATTAACTGCGCTCTCTGTTTCAAAACTCTGGCATGTCCAGAGGGCATGTGAAGTATCCAAAGTTATTAAACAACAGCCAAATGTAATCAAAGTCGTAGCTTACAAAAATGGCACAAGAAAGATCTTTGCTAAAGTTTCTGTGTCTTTAATTAAGCCAGTAACCTGTAACAGAAGTTTTCTTGCATGCATAAAGTTTATTTGTAGCTTTTACTTCAAATGCTAACATAAATCCTTTTTCCTTTAAAAGAAGCTTATGTGAGACTTCTCATCCTTTGCACGCTATTCCTAAATTGTGTGACTTGTTAAAAATTCTTATCAACACTAAGGGAAATAAGTTACAGCATGATGTATAATTTTGTTTGACATTAAAAAGCAAGAGGACAATCCTTTCAAACCAATCTTTTTAAGGTTATGGGTTTTTCTTATCCTATGATTTCTAATAATAGTCACTAAAATACTAAGTGACTTGTGGTGCAGTTACTGTGACTGGTAAATTAGTTGTGAGTGGATTTTTGATTTCTAATTTATTTTTTTCTGCCAAAATATTGATCATAAAATAAATATGTTTGTAATCAGTATTCCTTACCTCTTGCATTCATTTAGCTGCTGGAGGAGTGCTCTGAAAAGCTGAATCTGAACATGGCTGCACAATGAGTGTTCTTGGCAGACAGCACTGAAGCACTAGAACCTAAAGACATACCCCATGATGCCGACATTTATATTTCAACTGGAGAGACCTTTTTATATCCATTCAGAAAAAGAAAAGGTAAAAAACCAAAACCAAAACTGAGAACCCCCAGCAAATGGCTTAAGGGGTGCAATTAAAAATGATTTTCATCCTGTCTTTTTGCATGGTTTAACAAAACTAATGTTTACTCATTTACAGCTCAGTAAGAGGATAATGTGCTTAATGAAAGAAAAATCTACTGACAGCCACGTTTATTGCCCTTCATTAGCATTGGTACTTAATTTAATATAGATCTGAATAGACATTAGGGAGCCTGCAGGAGGTTAAATGGTGAAAATGTAAAGAGATTATTGAATTTACTGTTTAGTTTCAGTGACATCGAACAGACATAATTAATTAGGTTTATTCCACTAGCAAAAATAATCCAGAATGTAAGATTGCATTCATTAATGTCATTGTTCAAAATTTTATGGAAGTTTAATACAGCAATATGGAATATCTGCTTTACTACGCGTTGCTAATTTTAGATTGCTTGGTAAGACCATTATTAAAATTTTTCTTCTTTCCTTCTCATTCTTTTACCAAACTGATAATTGTGTTTTATTTTTCACAAGGAGGGAAAACTATTTCTGAATCCTTTGCAGTTTAAATGTGAATGTAAATGTTTCTCTCTGTCATATTTTAAGATCATGAAACACCTTGTGAGATTTCTGCAGTAAATTTGTCGTAACATTTTATAACATTAGCTTAAGTAGTGTTCAGTATCAAATTCAAGATATTGTTTTTTTTAGTGAACTATCAATTCAGCTGGCATTTGTGACAAAGAACTTTTAATTGCCGTAAGCTACTGTATTATAAAAAGAAAAATTATTATTAGGATCGTGTATATGTAGGTAGAAATCTACAATTCCAGTGTACAATTCCAATGAGAAATGCAAATAAAATAAATTGTTTAACATTATGTGAAAAATTCCAATTCGTATAATCTCATAGTAGTAAAATATGCGATGTTTTAAAAAATATAGGGTCGCAAAGAAGAAAAACAAAAACCAAATCATTCAACTAGTGTGCATATTTTATATATATGTTGAATACATTTTATATATACATTTCTGTATCCTTTTGGGCATTTTTTTCTCTTACGTACTTTCTTTAGAGACAAGCCTTTGGTTTTATTTTTCTACGTAGCTTTTAAATAACATTTGTTATCTTGGGGTGTATTAGGAGACATACTTTACTGTTGAATCTTTCATTCTGAATTTCAAAATATTCAAATGATCTTTTGCTAATTATTTTACACATTGATATTACTTAATACAAATATGTTTCAAGATAATATCTATATAGGACTCATTATTGGCTATTAGCTAAAAAAATGACAGCTATATAGCTCTCTCTATACACATAAAAATCTAATACTAATCTGTAGAGCTTTTATGATGTAAGTCCAGTAATTAAACTTTCATGGAGGTGTTAATGAATGAAACTTATGTTAGTAAGACTGTGTCTTACTTGATCAATTTTATATATGATAAGCTGTTGTTGATAATATAAAAATTCTTCTGAGTACGATACAGGTGATGCATTCCCTAGAATGGCTGTAATGAATGGCCTATGTATTCAGTGAAAGGCACAGATCGCTCTTTTTTCTTCCAAATGCGTGTGGTAAAACTGCTATTTGTTCTGTATGAACCATTTAAACAATGCTACTATTGCAGTATTTTTACATGGCTACTGCTATAATTTGTTACAAAGTCTTCACTGGTGCTCTTATTATCCTTTCTCCATGCATATGACTTGAGTATTACGATAGATTTTCAAATTCGTTAAGCGAGTCTTTTTTTCTTTCTCTCATTTTCCTCTTGCAAGCCAAGTTCAGAACAAAAACTTCTGTGCTTTGTCTGCATATCTTTGGCTGTGTTTCACTGTGACATGCACTGCTGTTCTTTTAGCACCAATATGTTGGCACACGTTACTGAAAATTTCACACCATCCCTTGCTGGATCAGCAAGCTTAACCTACCAAAATCTGGTGTTGTTGAATGGTTTTTGACTGATAATCAATCTTTTTGCTGCTCGACAGTTGTTGCTGGGACACAGACTAGAGCAGGTGGCAGATGTGCCTTGTCTTTTGAGAAAAGAAAGAGTAGGTGAGCTTGGGCACAGACTAACATATTGTGTGTCCATTAAGAGGGTAAGTATAACAGGAAAAAGTCACTGCTATAAGTAGAAAAGCCACCAATACCAGAAAATAGGCCTTTTTACACCCGTTTGCAAGTTTAATAGAACTGGAAAATGACAGCTAATAGTGTAGAATTCCATGTGCTCAAAAATAAGAACTTATGTTAAAAACATTAATAATTTCTCTGTATAACATTCCATAGTACTTTTTTTTGCTTGTATTTTTTTCGTTTATACATAGCATGAATGACAATGTACACATTTTAAAAAACCTACAATATACTGAAGATAGGTTTTAGAGATGTATAAAGACATATAGGCAGACAGTATGTATTTTATATTTTCTTTCTCTAGCCCAAGTCTGGGAAGACAGTGTAGAGTAGTATGACTTGTCAGTGTAAACATACTGATTGCTGCATTTGAGTCCTTAACACATAGCTGACAAGGTCAAATGTCAGAACCAAATCTTTTTTGCATGGGAATGGAAGGTTGGTGATATACTCTAAAGCCCCAACCCTGCAAATATGTACAAGTGATCCCATGCAATTCAGAGGGACTTTTTACGTGTGTAGTTACACACAAATATTTGCAAGATCAACACCTTTCTGGAAATCTATATTTCAAGTACTGTATGAATCCCAAAGTCTGTCAGAATTGTATCATCTTGCATATACTTTCATTACTTCAAGTGGTATAAATACCTGGATAAATGTAATTCCCAGTGATGTTGATGTCTTGGTTTATTTGGATTTGTTCACATTCTAATTTTTCTGACATATTAAAATTTAAATTGAGTTTTGGATTAAGTGAATATGGATTAAAACATAATGTCTCCAGTGTACTGCTTCATTTTTTATTCATTAGTTACCAATTTCTTAAACTGATACTAGTTTCTTTCTATTGAATTTAATTCCAATGACATTAGCAACCTTGCCCAATAAAATAATCAATTAGCTGTCACTACTTCATAAAAAGTTAGTGCATTTTATCAATCATGCTATTGTGGAAAACATTGCTTCTTCTAAACTTCATCTTCCATTCAGTAATTTTCAGTTTCTGTGTTTGCCATTTACCTTGATCTTGCTTCAGAGTTACTAAGTTGGAGACAAAAGAGTTTTGGCTGATCAATAAATTGTGGACTTAGACTTCAATTTAAAACCAATTACGTCCAGGTCTACTTCACTGTACTGCTGAGAGTAACGTCAGTGACTTCTGCAGGAGCCTTCAGAGTAGTGAAGCTAAGCATTTATACAGATATATGACTATACTTACTAGAGGTCCACTGACTATAAGGGGAACTAAGATGTCTAGCTCACATACGGGTAATTTAAAAGCAGACACCTAATTTAGCCGTGATGATCTTGAACTGAATCATTTCCTAAGGACAGCATTTTGGCCGAAATGCTGTTGTTGATATGCCATCTTCACATAATTGTTGTAAGTCATACTGACAAGGATTCCTTGCACGGAGCACGGTCAACTTCATTGATCACATAGGTGCTTCATCTGATTAATTCATCTTATTACCCGAGTACAGAGTGTTATTTATGACCTACTTCCAGCTCTCATTCTGTGGATCACTATAGTAAAAGAACACTAGATATGGAAACAATACATACATAAATGTTCACTTTTATACTACCACCTAGCCAAAATGTCTGTACTCTTTCATTTAGAGTTATATTTGTAGGATGTATGTTTCCAGTACTGTGTGCTAAAGCTAAAACTAATGAATAAGATTTTGTGTCTTTTATTAATGCACTGTGACAAGGAGGCCACTAGAAAAAGTAATCCATGGTTAGTCTTCTTAATGCTGCATTTCAGGTCTGTATTTAAATGAAGAGATTAAGATTTTTTTGCTTTATAACATTTAGAGATCATGTGAGCCACAAAATGAAATAATTTACCAAGACAGGTTCCAATTGACAAGAATGTGTGTTAATACGTTTAAAATAGAACGTCTTTTCTACAAGGAGTAAGTGTCAGTGAAATGATGGATTCTTACCATTGTAACTATTGACTGATTTGGAAATGTTTCAATTCCAAGCAGCATCCTAAATAATGTAGGGCTTTTTCTTATCAACACATAAAAATTACAGATGTCACATTTTATTTTTCAGAAAAAATGCATCTCCTCTATGAACTTAAAGTTAATACATTTTATTTCATTTTTTCTGTAATTACTGTATTATATGTTATTATTTCAGTGCATTTGTACTGGAATTTTGATCTGAAAAATGAATATGCTATAAAAATATGGATAAAATATGCAGAAATACATATCTTATCGTATATTATGAGTTTATCCGTGTTATAACATAGGTTGAAGATCTCAAGATATACAACAGAAGTTTGTTGTAAGCTATAGAAGTTTCCTCTTGAATCATCATATATCAAAATAGAATTGAGAACTTAGAAAATAGCTTGATCATATCCTGAAAGTTAGAATGACAAAAACCCGGTCTTTGAGAAGGATGCCAGTAAAACCTAGATTATATTTTGTTTAAAGGGTTTCTCACAGAAAATTAATTTTATTGTTTTACTATGGAAAATTAGATCCAAATTATTATTTCAGATATTTACAGCCCTTTCCTGTTGTGAGTACCTTTTTGAAATCTGAAATATGCCCATTTCTGAGCTATTTTGGAACCCTTCACAATATTGAAGTCTCCCTTCTAGTCACTCAATAGCATTGAAGTCGTGTTTTTTATACAGGAGTCTAGTGGCAAGATGCCACTTTTAATATGCTGTGTCTTTTCCTCTAGGTTTCTCACTTAGCAAACTCCACTACTTCTTTTGGCACCAGAAGCAAAGGTACATGTACTGTTCCCTCAAGAGTTTCCACAGCAGATTTTGATAAATATATTTTTCCAGACAACATATATGGAGTCTTATTGA